CAGGAATGCAGCCCTGCCGGCCAGTCCTCTGCTTAGCTGCAGGCTCTGGGGCTGAAATCCAGCCTGTGGACTGATGTGGATCGCCCTGGCTGGCTGCTGCTACTCTGCCTGAGAGGTTTGGCACTGGTTCCTGCTTGGATCTGGGAATATCTTGCTGCATATTCCCATGGCTCTTCACCCTCAATAGCACCTTCTTGCTAGACAAAGCCCTTACAATGAGAGATGACCACCTTGCAGCTGCCCTCTCGCCAGGAGACGCGGGATCCCCAGCCTGCTGTAGGTCTATGGATGGCTCTGGTAGAACAGACCTGGTGGCTTCTCTTCCCTCTGCCTCTCCATGTGCAAAGCCATCACCAGATGGGGACACACACTCTCTCTGCCCCCTTTATAGTGTCACTGTAGGGAAGAGTGACATTCAATGTGTGCCTTCAGGCTCCAACCCCAACCTCCCTGGTTGAGCCTTCAGGTTTTCATGTTTATCTCCTTCCTTTCTAGGAAATAGACCGACGGTTGGAAAAGAAGCTGAAGATCACACAGAAGGAAAGGTAACAATGCTGTGTGGTTTGGGAATGAAACTTCTATTCCTGAGGTGCTGTTGGACATCCGAAGGCCTGGGGAGTGGGAACAGTGGGAAAACAGCTTCACTAGGAGCAGAGTATGCTGGGTCTGAGCTCAGAACTAGGGAATCTGTAACGGTGCCACTAGGTGGCCCTTGGGCTCCACAGCAGGGCAGCAGAAAAGCTTCTTGAGAGTGATTTTATTTCAGAGCTGGGGCTTCCAGACGGGATGTAGCTACAGCTTTGGGGAAGCCATTTAAGAAAAAGACACTCAAAGGAAGAAATGGGTGAGTCAGGTAATCCCAACTCCTGGCCTTAAATTGGTTTGCCATGTCTTGCGTCAGTCAGGCTTTTCTTTTCCTGCTTACTCTGGGTTGGGGTGGGGGCTGTGTGGTGTTGTCTTCTGGCAGAAACGTTTCTGATGAGCCTGTTGTTGTTTCATTTCCCCTTTGATTCTTAGTAGGCCACTTCAGGAGTCATGGGGGAACTTCTTTGGGACTTCCACACAGGAAAGGGACCATAAAAAAAAGTGGGAGATGGGTGAGAATCAGCTGAGGCTGGTTCTGTGGAATGAATTGTGGCAGGGTTGGAGAGGAAGACTGGGTGTCCTGGTGAGAGGAGCCCTGAAAGTCCTTGCAGGGGGTGGAATCAAGGTGCTTACACCTCCAAGAGAAGTGGGAAAACCTCTGTCCAGTGTCTGCTTCCTGTTCCTTTGGTCCATTATGAAGATGTCAAATGCAGCAGGGACTGGTTTTCGGGCCCTTCCTGAGCGAACCTGCCTGCTGCTCTAGTTTAGGGTTGCAAATATAACGAGGTCTTTAATAATTACAGGCTGCCTCTTAATCACAGCAATGACACCTGCCTGGGAGGAATTCACCCACGGAGCGGAAAATGCGCCTCAGGGAACCGGCACCAACACACGTGGTTTTATCTTTTTTATCTCTTCAACAGCAGAAAGTCCAAATCTCCTCCTAAAGTGCCCATCGTGATTCAGGACGACAGCCTCCCTGCGGGTCCTCCCCCCCAGATCCGCATCCTGAAGAGACCGACCACCAACGGCGTCCTCAGCAACCCCAACTCGGCCAGCAGGCCGGCCCTCCCCGTCAAGTCCCTGGCGCAGAGGGAGGCGGAGTACGCGGAGGCGCGGAAACGGATCCTGGGCAGCGCCAGCCCCGAGGAGGAGCAGGAGAAACCCATCCTGGACAGGTGAGGGGCCCGTCCTTGGGCAGGTGAGGGGCCCATTTAATGTTGGAGAGAGCAACCTTTCATGCTGCATCATCTCTCTGAATGTGCCTCACAAACATCTTCTTGTCAGAAGGAGGAGGAGCTCCTTGGAGGTGAAGTGAGGCTGGGAAGGAGAATGGAGTGCTCTGTTAGCAAGCTGGGCATCATAAACCTTGGAGTCAAGGGAAGCACAAGTGTCTGATAAGGCCATAAAGGTTGTCTTAGACCCTTGGGAGAACATGCTGGGGGTATAGAGAGGAGTGGGGACAACCAGCATTGTCCTGGTGGGATGTACCCTCCTCTTCCCTGAGGTTTTTGACTTCAGGGACCTGCCATGTGTAGACAGGAGCACCCCTGAGTCAATGCAGGTGATCTGAAGGCTTTCTCCGTACTTGCAAGGTGGGTCTCAGCTCTCTGGGAGCAAGACTTTTAAATCTTTGGAAATTCTTGTTTTGGTGGCATTTCCCATCCCAGGGAGCAGCGTGTGACAATTGTCCTGTGGCACTGACTTCCTACCGAGGCAGCGCAAGAGTGTTGGTGGGAGGCATCCATCTTGCCTCCTCCTCTCATAGAATCCTGGAATGGTTTGGGTTGGAAGAGACCTTAAAGACCATCTAGATACAACCCCCTGCATGGGCAGGGACACCTCCCACCAGCCCAGGTTGCTCCAAGCCCCATCCAACCTGCCCTTCAACACTGCCAGGGATGGGGCAGCCACAGCTCCCCTGGGCAACCTGGGCCAGGCTCTCACTACCCTCACAGGGAAGAATTTCTTCCTCATGTCCAACCTAAATCTTCCCTCTTCCAGTTCTAATCCATCCCCCCTTGCCCTCTCACTCCAAGCCCTTACAAGAAGTCCTTCCCCATCTCCTCCCTGCAGGCCACCGAGGATCTCCCAGCCGGAAGACACGCGACAGCCCAACAATGTGATCAGGCAGCCCCTGGGTCCTGATGGTTCCCAAGGCTTCAGGCACCGCAGATAGAGGTGGAAGTGCTGCTGCCCACGGGACAGACTGGAGCAGAGGCAGCTCCTGGTTGATGTTGCACTGTGACCCCCTTTGCTCTGCCCACTGTGACCTTCAGCCCCCGCGCACTGTGACCTCCCCGCGCCACCCACTGTGACCGCTCAGGGCTGTCCCCGAGGAGGACAAAGAGGGGAGGAAAAAAACACACACAAAAAAAAGAGGGAAGTGGGAGGGGGACACGATGGCAAAGGGGGGTGTAGAGGACTCGGGGGGGGTGCTGGGAATCCTGTGTGTGCCACTGGGGCGCCAGCAATAACCTCAGTTGTACTGGGAACTGGGGATTTTAGGCAAACAAACCCAACAAATCCCACCAAATGGGAAACCCTCCCCAGACACCCTCATGGCTTCCAGAGCGAGTTCTTTTTTTCCAAGGAGCTCTTTTTATTATTATTTTATTTTAATTTTTTTGCTGTTTTTTTTTCCTGTCTCATCAGCTCAAGGGAGCTCATGGGAGGGGTTTGAACTGTTGGTGTTCCTGCAGAGAGTTGGTTCAGTGTTGGAAAAGGCTTTTTAGGAATTCTCTAACTTTTCACAGCTCAGCTTTGGCACGTTCTTGCTTCTCCTCTAGTTTTCCTGCTGCTGAGCACCTGGAAGTGGGTTCCTGGGATATCCAGGCCTTTCCCAACCCCTTGGGAGCTGGTGGAGTCCAACCGCCTCGTTTACGTCTGTTAAAGCTTGGCTTGGATTTTCTGCTGGCTTTGAGGGAAAAAGCTTAAAATCCATCTTTTTATTTTTCTGTTTGGTTTTGGTTTGTTTTTTTTCATATCTGGGGAGAAGGGAACGTGGCCGGATCCTGTGGCAATGCCAGCTGAGTGGCAGAGAGAGCTGGTCAGTGGAGAATTAGGTGAGGAGAACAGCTGGCACCACTCTGGTCCATGAAATAAATAAGTGGCCAGGAGCCCCTCTCCCTACGGCCGGAGCTTGGGATGATCCCAAGATCCAAACCCCAGTGGCTTAAGGATGGAGCGACGGCTCCCTACGATCTCATGGTCACGGTACGAGCTGCCTCCGGAAATCCCAGACATTGGGAACTACAATAAAGCCTGGATGATTCCCTCCCGTCTTCCTGGCAGCAGCTGGCTCCCCGCGAGGCTTCAGGGATGGGATTTTTCCTCCTCCGTCTCCTGGGAAGAGGACAGGGAGGCTGGAACACGGATGTTCCCCCCCCAACGAAGCTGACCTACCTTAATACTGCTTAATCTTGAGGGACAGATGAACACTAAATGCCCTCCTTGGAGGGGACAGGACCTAAAAAACCAGTTCCAGTGGATTATTCTGTACGGATGCAGCCTCCCCTGCCGCTTTGTGCTCAGTAGGTTCAAGGGTAAACGAGCTCAGTCTTCTACCCGGAGGGAAAAGCGCCCGTACAAAGAGACGTGTATGGAAATACCGGTGAAATAAAACTACCTGTGTATAAAACGAATCTGCTAGAGCATTAATTAGCTAATTAAAGCTGATTAAAGCACCGAGGATGGTGGCGAGGTGGAGCATGGGCTTCCCCAAGGCTGGTGCTTTTTTTTTCTGGGGGTGGTGGTGTTTTATATTTACCCCCCTCCCAGAGTGGTGGTGGGGATGAGTCCTTGGGAGGGGGGTGGATGGAAGGGTGGAGGATGTCAGCAATAACCACTCAACACGCCTTTCCTTCATGGTTACTAAAAATAGCTTTTAATGGCCAAAAAAAACCCAAATCCACCCAATCCCTGGTGTAGCTGGTCAGTGTTAAAGTTGCCACCTCCTCCTTCACTGGAATCTTTGTCTCCACCACTGGAATCTCCATCTCCAACAATAAAAAAATCTCCATCTTCAGCACCAAAATGTCCTGTCTCCGGCACTGAAATCTTCTCCGACACCAAAATCTCTGTTTCTGGCACCAAAATCTCCCAGCTCCTCTGTCCCCTCATGGTGCCCAGGATACGTCCCACCCGCGGGCAGGGCTGGGCAGCGTTCCTGTGGGAAGCCCCTTCTTCCCGGGAAGGTTGGAGGATAAAACACGGTACCACGTGTTTCACACCCCCCTCCTCAAACCCACCCCCCCCAAAAAACCCCACAACCCCGTGCGCCGAAAAGAAAATGTTTTATAAATTGTATTTTAAATAAATGTCTTTAAACTTTAAAAGCTTCATTTTCTTTCTCCTTCATCCCTCGCGGGGGCGGCTGCAGGAGGGACACGTGGGTGGCAGCTTCAGCTCCTTCAAAATCCCTCAAGAAGGTAAAACCTGGGAGCGTTTGGGCCGCGACTGTGCCGGGATTGACCCCAAAAAGGGGGAATTTTGGCCTGGTTTTAGGGAGTCTGAGGAGTCTAAGAGAGTCCAAGGAGGGTGGGAAGTGGCGGAGCTGGGAGATGTTCCCGGGCTGGGGGGGCTCCCTCCCTGCTGCCTCTGTGTGAAGAGACTGGTTTTATTGAATTACTGATTTTGGTGATTCTGTTGCCCAGTGCTGATCTCCTGCTGGCCCCGGGTGCTCCAGGGCAGGGGGGAGGGTGCTGGGGGGTCTGGCTGGGTGCGGGGCTGGGGCTGCGCCGGGAGCTGCCCAGGCCCTGCTGCCCTTCCAGGGCTGGTTTTGAATCGGTTTTTTTAATGTGAAAGCTGGAAAAAATGGAACTTTAGTGAGTGGGAGGTGCTGAGCAGGGAGGGAAGGGGCTGCAGCGGGTCCTGACAGGGCCGGGGCTGGGAACCTGCTCCCTGCTCCACCAACTGGTTCCCAGTTACCCTGCTCACTGGGACCAGTTACCCCGCTCACTGGTTCCCAGTTGCCCCGCTCGCTGGTTCCCAGTTCCCCTGCTCACTGGTTCCCAGTTCCCCCTGCTCACTGGTTCCCAGTTACATCCAATCACTGGTTCCCAGTTACCTCCGCTCACTGGTTCCCAGTTACCTCCAATCACTGGTTCCCAGTTCCCCCGCTCACTGGTTCCCAGTTACCTCCAATCACTGGTTCCCAGTTCCCCCGCTCACTGGTTCCCAGTTACCTCCAATCACTGGTTCCCAGTTCCCCCGTTCACTGGTTCCCAGTTACCTCCAATCACTGGTTCCCAGTTCCCCCGTTCACTGGTTCCCAGTTACCTCCAATCACTGGTTCCCAGTTCCCCCGTTCACTGGTTCCCAGTTACCTCCAATCACTGGTTCCCAGTTCCCCCGTTCACTGGTTCCCAGTTACCTCCAATCACTGGTTCCCAGTTCCCCCGTTCACTGGTTCCCAGTTACCTCCAATCACTGGTTCCCAGTTCCCCC